CCGCTTCTCGCGTTCGCCGGATTCGTCTGCGACAGAATCGAACGCGTTGGGACCCTCTCGACCGACCGGGCCTTCGAGCGAGGCTACGAACCCGAGAAGGATCCACGAGGAATCGAACGATCGAGTCGCGACCGGATCCTTTCGGTGTCTCGGTCGGAAATAGAAATTGGAGCAAAGTCGGCCAGACGTTCTCTCGACCGCGAAAAAAAAAAAAGAAGAACGGCCGCCGGTCGAAGAGTTTTTGGTCGGACGGCCAAAATTAGAGGACGCGCGCGAATACTTTGGCGAAGCGTTTGCCTCGAAACGCGAGCATTTCTTCTGCTGGCTCGGGATTCCCCCGAATATTTATAGAATATTTATAGAATGGAGCGCCTCCAGACGTCGAGGAGCACTCGCGCGCTCGAGGACCTTTCTCGACGGACCTTTCCTTCCGCGTCGCCACCTGCTACCAATTACGCAACTTCGCTCCGACGATTATTAATCCACTCGCGCCTTCGAACGATCAACCTCGCTCGCGGCGACGTTCGCTCTCTCGGGTTTAAACGCGAGTCGCGATCCAAGCTCCTTCGCGAGAATCTTCGTTTTCGGACGTTCGCGGGATACAACGGTACAAGAAACCTCTTTCTTTTCTCGGTCGAACAAGAATAGCGCGTTCGTCGAGCGATCGGCACCGTTCGAATTTTTGTCCGCGTTTTCCGACGGACACCCTCGCTGGCAACGCGCAACCACCGACCTCCCATCGAGCCTCGAGGAATCGCGCGTATCCGTTAGACCGTCTTCGCGTCGATATAATTGGCGAGACGAGAACGACGCGGGAGATTCTACGCCTACGCGGACGGTCCTTCCGGTGTTACCTTCTCCTTTTCTCTTTTCACCGGAAGCGTGGTCCGAACCGGGTACTCACCATAAACGCGTTGCCATTGCGAACAGTCGAGGAATCCTTGAACCCGAGGCGACGATGGTCTGCGAACAAAGCAAACGAACGCGACGAGTTTTAATCTGATCGATCTCGTGGAAGGGACAAACGCCGCGAAAAACTGTGCTTTTTCCGACAGCGGTCGAGCTAGCCAAGTTAAAAGTTGGGTCAGACGGAATCCAGAGACCTACCCATAAACCGTCGTCGCGAACGTCGAATCGGATATTAAATTTCCTCGAAGCAACACATATTTCCCAGAGGATAGCACGCTGCTCCCCTTTCCGGTAGAGCGCGTTTTCGCTCTCTCCTTCTCTCTTACGACATTCCCGTTTTCTCTTATCCACGGCCAAAGTAATTGCACCGTCTCGCAGGATCATAGCCGTTTAATTGTTCGCGGAACAGCTACCGTTCCAATTAATTTGCGTAATTACGCGACGAGTCCGGAAAACGCGCGTCTCCTCGTTTTTTTTTTTTTTCAACGATCCACGGGCAATCCGAGTTTCGCGCCGTGTTTCGGTTAAAGTTTCGATCGGACGGTGGCGAGTCATGGCGCCGATCGCGCGAGTTAGCGGTACTCGCGCGATCGTTGCGAAGAAAATGTTGGCAGAACGTCTAAACAGCAAATCGGTGTAGGCGGACAAAAGGAAAAATACGTAACGAGAGACAGCTCGGTGGAAGGATTCTCGTTTTTTTTTTTTTTTCAACGATCCACGGGCAATCCGAGTTTCGCGCCGTGTTTCGGTTAAAGTTTCGATCGGACGGTGGCGAGTCATGGCGCCGATCGCGCGAGTTAGCGGTACTCGCGCGATCGTTGCGAAGAAAATGTTGGCAGAACGTCTAAACAGCAAATCGGTGTAGGCGGACAAAAGGAAAAATACGTAACGAGAGACAGCTCGGTGGAAGGATTTCCCCGCGGAACGAATCGGAGCCAGGGTAAACGCGGTGGGGTTCAAAGAACTCGGGAGCACAAATACCGGTTTCGAGTTGTCGAAGGTGATGTACGAGCAAAGAGATACGATAGGAAAGACTGGCGAGCGAAGGACGCGTCGATAACGGGGCGGCAATGTCTCGAGCGAACAGCCGCGATAACGCGACCGCGACATCGACGTCGTCTCTCGTTGGCCGACCGATCGGATTCGAAGAAATCGCGTCTACTCGGCTATCGAACGAACGGAGGGAGCGAAGATCCGCGCGATGCCGTTAACGACGCGTGCTCGTTATCGAAGGTTAAATTGGTCGCTAGCTCGTCGCTAGGCTCGTCGCGATAATTAATTTCGATCGGTTCGATAGCGCAACGCGTCTCACCTCCGCGGATCACGAGGGTAATTAGCAGCGGTGTAGGAAAGAGGATGGCTGCGAAAAGCGACGGAGGAGACGTTCGCAAAGTTCGTCGACCGAAATGTCGCGAAGGAGGGAACCGAGAACGATCGAAATGGTCCGTGAACGAGGAACCGACCAAACACCGGTAACCCGCGAGCCGAGTCGCGACGATAATTGGCCGCTGGCAAACGAACGATTCGCGGGTTCGTTCCACGGAATAATTTCAAACTCGACCGGTTGCCCACCCAACTCGGCCTCCTACCGCGCTCGTATTTAGAGCTTAGCGTCGCCGTCGCCGTCGCCGTCGACGTCGAATCGACCGTTTCGCCTTTCCGCGGTACCGACACGCGCCCCGCTCGTCTTCCACCTTAATATACGTTCCATATTTTAGTCTCCTCGTTCCGTTCCATCGCGGTTAATTTGCACCAGACCCGCCGCGAAATCGATACCTTCGGACGAAACGGTCCGCCCAACCGTTTTGTCCGCTTCCTACCTTCTCTATTTGCTTCGTCTCCTCGTTTCGCTTCTTCTCTATTTTCGCCCGTCTTCGCCACCGACCTACGAACGACTCGAAATTCTCTGATTCACCCTCGAACGCGATCGAACGCGATCGAACGCGATCGAACGCGAGCAACCCCGAGGACGTAACCTTCCGTAACATCAGCGAAGAACGCTGCACGATTGCCGTGGTCGCCAGCTCGATATTAATTCGTCTAAACGCGACGTTTTTTCATCTCCGTCGACGAAACCGACTATTTACGCCGGTAAACCTGAACCGATCCGAATCGAGTGAAAGAGAGAGAGGCGATCTTGTATTCGAACGACGGCCTCCCTAAAAAAGAAACAAAGCCGAGGGTGTCGCGTGCCGACGCGTCTTCGCCGTCCCCCGTCTTTCTCTATTTCGCGCGACGCGTTCGTTTCTTTCGCTGGTCTCGTTGCCCGACGAGTTATGCAACTCGCGAAGAAGCCGCTTTCGTCGAGGAACGCCGCTAATTGGCCGAAAATAAATGCCCTCGAACAACCATTTTCTCTCTCTCCGGTACGTGCTCGCGTTTCGTTCGTAGGCCGTCCTCCGCTTTCGCGTCGAGAAAATCGGAACGAACCGCGCCACGAAACGAGTCGAGTCGAGACGAGACGAGACGACGCGACGCGACGCGACCGAACCTGTCGCTAAAACTTTTACGACACGCCGCTAGCGTCGGCGTACTTTAAAGATAGCTCGAGGATGCGATGACGGCGAGACGCGTTTCGATGCGCGAAAAAACGATCAGCGCGGATCCGAACTGTCTCCGCTAGCTTCGCGTCTATTTAGAGAACGCTCGGAAAGAATGCTCACTGTCTGGGCCTTGAAACAGGCGCTCGAATAAAAATCGAATCGTCCAGGACCGATAGCGAGCTACGCACCTTTCGGTCCGCACGCTCGTTTCTAGATACCGTCGGCTTGCTCGCGGAACATTTCGAATCGTGTTCCATTTTTTTCGTCTCGCGTTTTCCTCTTCTTATAATTCACGCGCGCTATTACGAAAACTTTGAAACTTTCTTTCGACGATTCGGATACGGAATCGTTTTCCTAACGACAAATTTGCTCGGCAACTAAACGATTAGCTCGGAGCGATTTCGCGCGAAGGGAACGCAAAAAAGAGGCAAACTTTGAACAGGGAAGAAAAGAAGAATTTTCGATTAGCGTGTCCATCTAGCACCGCGCCCGTTCGTTTCGGTTGTTGCTGAGCCCTCTCCGATATCTAGGATGATCCTCTGGCTCTTTTTGCTCGAATAAACGGTGTCTCTTTCTTCCCTTTCTAGGGAACTAGCTGACCGTTGGAGAAAAAGATTACGGAGACACCAAGAATTTAAATAGTTTCGAGAACGTCCGATCGAACGAAAAAATAAAAAATGTCGGTTGCATCGTGCGGTGGCGCGTCTATTTACGAATACGATAAAAGTAAAGAAGGTAAAATAAGGAAGAATTTCCACCGTATATCTCCTCTTGTTTTGTTCGTTCGAATTTTCTCGCGAAACGCTCGTACGCGTATACGGTCCGGTTCGAAACGTTCGAATTGGAGGCGCAAAGATCGTCGACGAAATTACGCGTAGAAGCCAACCTACTCGCCGATGCATCGACGTTTGAAAAGAAACGGCTCCGCCGGGTACGGAACAATGGCTTCGAAGAAAGGCTCGGCTGCATTTGTTCGCGCCTCGTTCGGGTGCTTTCTCGCGAAAAGTAACGCGCTCGCGAAAAATCAAAGAAGCGTCTCGTTCGCGCTCGACTTTGTTCCAGATGTTCGTTTCGTCGGTTGTAACGCGACGACGGTCGTCGACGTCCTATTCTTTTCGCTCCGTTGAAAATTCTCTTTCTTCACCCCCGCTAGTTCTCCGCTGGGTCGGAATGTCCGCCGCGAACTTTCGAGGAGACGCATCTTTCACCGTCCGATCGCTTTCGAACGCGCCGACAAAATCTTTCCGCCTCTTCGTTCGTTCGCGCCGCGATAGAAAACGCGAAGCTGCTACCGACGCGACAAAGCGATCGTGGCGACGGCTCAAGACAGCGTCGGAATATTCGTGAAACGTCCACTCGCGACCGCTACGTGGACAATACCTCTCGATCGGCCGTGTTAACGGACCGTAATAATATAGATCTCGCACGGGAATTCCGAGCATTAGGATCCTTTTTCGAACAGGTTCTCGAGAATGCGAACGCGTCCTCGAAATGCGCGATCTTGGAGAATAGTCGTGTCTCGTGGCAGGAAATTTAGGTTCGGAATATATGTATTCGGGCGGACCGTTCGACGATCGCGACATTCGTCGAGATCGGAAACGGATAGGGTTAAGGAAAAAGATGGTAGGCTAATTCTGGCTCGCATAAGTCGGTCGCGTAACGAAGGCAGGAAGCGCGGATCCGCCACATAAATCGTGACCGAAGGCGAGCCCGACGCCGACGTCGGATCAGTTACGAAAACATTCGCGGGTACAAATTATGCGGCATTAGCCTGTTACGCGAACTTCAAACTTCAAACGGCAAAAGAAATGGTCGGAATGCCGCGCGGTGTCTCGGCCGGGGCGATCTTCCGGTCTTTAACACCGTCTTGTTCTCCGGATAATTTACTCGCGAGAAGGATCGTAAACAGCGCGGGGTTGGCGATTTTCGCCGGAGGAAAAGAGATTCGTAGCGCGCGCGATCGCGATCACTTCAAAGCGACGCGCGAACACAAACGGAGTTGGCTCGTTTCTCGGAACGCTTTACGAACCGTCGCTCGTCGCGACGACTTTGCTCGCTTCATTTGCTGGATTTAGAATGAATTATCGCGGTATTAACATTGCACCAAACGAATAACCCTTTCTCGGATGATAAACGGCGCAACCTATCCCACCGGGCACGTTCTCCTCCCTCTTCTACCGTTTCCTCTCGCCCCCTTTAATCGTAAAACGATTAAAAGAGATCCTAAGCATCGGTTCGACACCCCAGCTCCGTATGGCGTCCCAGTATCTCGAGCAACATCCTAAACATCGACGAGAATTTTTTATTTCGTCGTCGCCTGTCGACCTCCTTCCTTCGAACGGATCTCCGCGAAGGATCGAAGATTAAAAACAACGTTTAGAACGGAACGACGGAAACTGGCAGGAACGGAGAATCGGAAATCGTCTAGAGTCTAGACGATAGAATCACCGGTCTCGTCGATTTCGCTATCCTCGAAAGTGCTCAACCATCGATTCCGTTTATTTCTAGACCTCCCGAACATTCGAAAAGCGTACTCGTGCAAAGATAGGAACGACGATCCCTATCTAACCGGTCGGTTCCACTCGAGAAGCGGTGGTTACGTCGATCTCTTGGCGGACACGGCGCGAACTTCGGCTGCTCGATCGACGAGCGTCAACCGGTCTGTTCGCGTCGTTTTTCGGTCTAAAAGAAACAACCGTTTCGCGCCGCGAAACAATCGTTCGTCCTCGACGCTTCGGAAACCATCCACTTTAGTCCAAGATCGAAACGGTCCGAGAAAATAAATGGAAAACGGGTCGAACGAAAATAGCCTCGACTCGAGGGAGACTCTAACGAAACGCGAACTAAACCTGATACGCGAACGCAAGATCGATACGACGTCAACGACAGAAGTCCTACGGCTCGCTTCCTCGGTTTTGCCAGCTTTTCGTCTGTCGATTCGCGCTGAAATTTGCTGTTCCAAACTTTCGCGTTCACGCCGACACGGGTTGGAAATTTCATCGGCGACTAGATTCGCGATAAAACGAACATGGTCCACGCGAAGCTGATTCTTCCGAGATCGTGGTTCGATATTTCGACGGAATAGCAATTACCTCGAGTAATTCGTACGCTCGAAGAGCCGACGCGTATCAAAGGGTTAACGATGACGGTAGGGAGTTCTCGTTCGAGTTTCGCGATTCTCGAGAAAAATCTCCTACCAAGGACTTCCGTTCTTTCCTTCGTCCTCTCGTATCTCCTCCATTCTTTCCTCTTCCCCTCGATGTTGTCTCGAATATCGTTTACTCGACTTACGTCGCTGAAACGCTGAATCGATAAGCGGGATAGACCGTTTTCTACGTGTTCCTCGACTCGTCCTCTTTATCCGCGTTCGCTTATCTCGCTGTTCCGTGTTCGCCGAAACTTTGCGCACGAACGGATAGTCGCGAACGCAACGTCTAAGCAGATTTTACCGCGGTAAACCACGAATCACGGTTCCGGCGAATACGTCAGCTCGCGTATTAAGTTGTCTCGAGTAGAATACTCCTGACGTTACGATAAATCGTCGGAAATCGTTCTACGCAACGATCTTTTCCAATGATAAATCCTTACAAGTTCGTTATACGGTCGGAACATCGATCGTCCTGCGTCACCGTGTATAGCGCGTCGTTCAAAAAAGAATACGGTACGTGGCTAAAGGGATTAGAATCGTACGCGTACCTACTCGATCTTCGACGAACAGCGTTCCATCGATTCGTTGCGTTCGGTTTAAGAATGTTCCGTGATCGAATCGAGGGGATTTTTCGTCTCGAGAAATTCTGATAAACGATAACGAATCGTTTTTTCCGTCGTAGATTTAGCATTTAACGATCGAGTATCGTGCGATTTCTCGAGAAAATACGCAGGAAACGGCGATCAAGGAACCTGGACGAGTTTCACCGTTCACCGATCGTAAAATCGGCTCGCGAATAACGCGACGAAACCGTGTCTCGGCATCGGACGAAAACGAAATCGTTCCGATTCGATAGAAATCGCAGCGATTCGGGATCGTTTCGTTCGCGAGACTGTCCAGACACGAACGAAGATTACGAGATGGATTCGCGAGTCGTAACGGTGGCAGACGCATTAGGGTGGTACCGCGACGCGCATAAATTTCTCGCGCGGAAGAGCAGAGAAACGGTTTTTAGGAGACGCGAGTAAGCCGTACCTTATAAACGAGAGGCAGATAAGAGCTGCCGTGACTAATGCGAGACGCGCTCGATTATTCACGGTATGTTTACCGACGAGACGTCGACGCGGTACTCGGCTAGCGACCGTGGACGCCAGTCTCGAAAACTCTCGTCCAAATCACCGAATTTACGATTCTCGCAACGACCGTTGCGACCGTCGAGAATCCGAAGCTTTTCCGATACAGCTGCTATCTATCCTGGAAACGATACTTTCGAGGCTCCGTCAACGGCTGAGAAGATTTACTCGCGTCCAACGAAACTGGCTACTTTGCCTTCTCGTCGATTGTTCGTCCGTATCGCGCGCGAATGTATCGTCGTGTTTCGCGATCCGGGGATATCCGCCGGTAGGTTCGTAAAACGGATTTCACTGGCCGAAATCGAGTATCGTAAAACGCGAAAACGACCCACGAACAAACTGGGCCGCGACTCGGTCGTCACAGGCAATCGTTCGCGAACGATCTACATACGTCGGTCTACGTAACGCGTTAACGCTACTCGAGCTTTATATTTCCAGCGTCGATCGTGGATCACTTTCATAAACGCTGTACGATATCTCGATTAGTAGAGCTAAAAACGCAAAGGGTTCGAGGCAACTTACGGTCCGATTACAGTGTCGTCGTTAGCGATAGCGGAAGGAAAAAAATTTTACAGAAATCCGGAAAGAATTGGTAGGATATTTCGTTAAAAAGATCAGCGATCTACGAGTGTTCTCGAACGAGCGTGGGTTACGACGTCGCGTTAGGAAAGATAAGTTGCCCGGAGGTTTCTTCCTCGAACGTTACCGACCGTTACGTGCGATTCGGATGTTCTTTCTGCCTCGTATTCGCGATATGTTCCAGCTCGGATTCTCGAGCGCGACGGAAACGATCGTCGCGATCGTTTCGCGCGGTACCGCAAACGACGAATAGTTTCGAATCCGCACAGTGTTATTCGACAAAAGATCGACGTTGCGTTTCTCGATTGGTCCAAGTCGTCTAATCCGATGCGAACTCGATCTAATCCGATAGCCTATTTCGGAGCGTCCAACTTATAATTTCGCCTTCTCTCGAGTCTGCTGCATCGCGTAATCCGGCTCGCGAGAACGATCGTCGTCGCGTTCCCTCGTAACCTACCGGTAAAACGGTTCGAATCGAGAGTAACCCGCACCGCGCGAACGTCGATCGAGGCTTTCGCAACCGACCCACACCGTAGAGCGTAGTTGAAACTTCCGCCGATAAACACCGACCGAGTATCGATCTAACGTAGCGTAACTTACCGTCTAATAAAGACTTTGACGGTGACGGGAACAACGATGACAGCAACGACAATGACGACGACGACGATGACGACGACGACGAC